CTGTTCATGTGATAGTTCCGTAATAACAAACTAATAAAATCTAATCGGCCAAGGAAGTGGCCTTAATAACAAAAAAATAAAAAATAAAAAAAATAAAACTTATTTTGTTGCAATAACAAAATTAAATAATAAAATATAAATAATAAAAATATATATCTAAAACTTATTTTATAATACTACTATTATTATCTAAAATAGTTAAGAATGCTTTAGTATTATTAGTTATTAAGCTAAAATTACTATTTAAACAAACATATATATTGTCAAGATCTTATTATTCAATATTACTAATACTAATATTCTAAGAATCTATAGTTATAAAAGAGTTATTATAGTTGTTACTAACTGAATTCATGATGTTTATTAAAATTCGAATTTTCGAAAAAGCTAATATATATATATTACTATAGGTTTAATACGCTGCTTTTAAAAAAAAAACAAAAAAAAAAAAATTATAAAAAAATCTAATAACTTTGAAAGAAGTTTGTTTTAAAGTTTTTTTTGTCACATGTAAATATTTAAAACATAAGTAAAGCGTACTTGTTACTACATTTTTAACTAAGGTACTATAACAATTTGTCTTTAAGAACAGTATACAATATAAAGACGAAGTATGAAATTTTGCATTATTCATATATAAAATGCTTTATTATTAATTGTCGATCCTTATTAAAAAAAATTACATCTTTCGGAAGGATAATACCTACAGGGGAAGGTGGGGTATAATCAGCTGATAAGTGTCACTTCCCTAATCCAAAATTCAAATAACTGAAATGAATATAATTTTTTAGAAATATGCAAATTGTTACAAATATATTGGTTTGTTTGCAAATTTTTATATTAAAATAATGGCTAACTGGCATTAACATTTAGAGTGAGTAATTTAAAATTAAGCGACTGGCAAACATGTTATTTACATGAAACAACATAATGTGAGAAAAGACGTGGAAATGCATTTTTAAGTATCATTAAACTTCCCCTGCAATCTAGCAGCCTTAAATTTTGAGACCTTCTTAGATCTCTCAGTTGGTTGCGGTAATGGACTTTCATTCTATAAATAGAATCCAAAATTTCAATAATGTTATAAAGTTATTGACATTATGCAATTAACTTACTGTTGAAAGACCTCCTTGTTGTGCAATAAGATTAATTCGTTTTTGGTGATATTCTGACGCGATCTAAGATATTAATTAATTATAAAATATAAAAATATAAGAAGCGAGGCATTTGAATGCATAATGAATGTTATTGAAGCACAGACCTCTTTTTTCCATATCTCATACTCTAAAGCTTCAGTATCAAATTCCTCCAGTAGTGTCTCATTTTCTATTACTGCAGAATTTACTGGAATATTTGTTTGTTTGATTTGTTTAGTTTGGGTCGCTGAAGGTTGTTTTAAATATTTCTCTTTATCAGAATATTCTGAAGGTTGTCTTAAATACTCCTCTTCATCAGATTGTTGTCCTAAGTATTCATCATCATCAGAGTATAGAACATTATCCTTCTCAGCCTCTTCCTCCCATTCCTCTTCATAGTCTTCATCATTGCTTTCAGACTCACTTTCTTCGTTTGATTCAGATACTTCTCCACGCCTCAACTCTTCCTCTTCTTCAGCAAGAAACTTATCCAAAAAACTAGTATCATTTGGTTTAACTATAA